AACCTTTAGCATATTTAATTCCTGGAAGAATTTGACCTATTTCGAGAAAAGAAACCCCCATATGTGTTAGAGTTTAGTCATTTGCTTCACTGCATTTCTCCTTTGTGGGACTTGGCAGTCGACTGCCAGTGAGTTTGATGGCGTGTCTGTCAGACGGATGGGATAAACATGCGTCATCACCCGTGGCTTTGACAAGCAGAGCAGTGGACTTGGACACATAGGCTTAGTAATCCATTTAACCCAAAGAGAGCTGGATCTGTGCAGAGGACAGGACAGAAATATACCCCACTCAAGCCACTGATTAGAAGTGTCCTGATGTCACAGGGGTCAGAGATGTGAGTGTAGTCCCATTTGAGACTCATCTCCTGCTTTAATGACCTGATGAGCAGGTCAGTCTGTGTCATAATGAGGCTGACTGGAGAAAGAGCATACACGTCTTTGTCTGTTTCAGTCTAACTCATACTGCTGTGCTCCCTACAGCAAATGATGCAATCTGGCCCTCCTTCAGCAATAATAGGGTTCCTCTAAAACCTCCAGACTGGAAGGACACAAGTCAAGATCATAGCAGCAAGATGGGTACCTCAGACAAGGTGAGATTAAACAGTCCTCCAAAGAACTTAAGTACAAGTTCTACTGAAAGACATCTTTTGAGTCTTGCTTAACTCGTGTTTTTTTATTTATTTACTAGGAAGCCCCTAAGCTGTTAGGGACAGTAACAGCATTGTCTAAGCAGCCTCCACCCATCTATGGAACCTATCCCAGTGCAGGCCATCACTCCACAGTCTGTGCCACCAGCTCTTTGCCCCGCTCTGCTCCTGGCAACTTAGGCTGGCAGAGAACACCCCCTGCCTCTGGTTCCTCATCACAGCAGATCCAACAGCGGATAACAGTGCCTCCCAGTCCTACGCCTCAGTCTGGATCAGCCCTCTTCCCTCAGGGGGAGAGGACAGAGCCTCCTCTTGCTGTGGCGGTGCGTCCCTTTATTCCGGACAGAGGGTCCCGGCCCCAGTCTCCAAGGAAGGGTCCTGCCACTATGAACTCCAGCTCAATCTACAATATGTACCTGCAGCAGCCTACAGCCAAAAATTACTCCAGCAGCAGCAGAGCTGCTGTTAAAGCAGGTAATAAGCAGTTGCATTGGTTCCACAAACAGGTATGGAAATTAGCTTTCCATATTATGATTATGCATGTTCCCTTCTATTAAATATGCTTTCTTTTCATTTGCTTCCAGTATACGGAAAACCAGTTCTACCAGGCTCCACCTCTCCCTCTCCAGTTCCACTCTACCAGCAGTCCTTCACAGATGAGGTCGACAGAGAGGTCCAAGAGAGCACTCCCTTACCTCCACCCAATGTGGAGAACATCCCTCGCCCTCTCAGCCCTACCAAACTGACCCCTGTGGCCCACTCCCCTCTCCGTTACCAAAGTGACATTGACCTGGAGGTGCTGAGACGGAAATTATCCAATGCTCCCCGACCTTTGAAGAAGCGAAGCTCCATCACAGAACCAGAAGGACCCAGTGGGCCTAACATCCAGAAGCTCTTATATCAGCGCTTCAACACCCTTGCAGGGGGCATTGAGAATGGAGTGGGTGGTACACCTTTCTACCAGCCTGACAGTCCTTTGAACTACATGGCCACAGCCCTGGGTGATGTGGACACTACCAATGGGAACCTGATGGAGTCAAGCATGTTAGCTGAGCCTTCAGCAGAGCCACCAATCTCAATCCCTCCTCCCACATCTTCTGTGTCACCTACAGCTGATGACAATGAGAACCAGCTGACACATCTATGTAGTGACTCAGGGGGTGCCCAGGCGGATGGTGCCTCAGACCCTTCTCATAAGGACAACCATGAGGACAATCATAACAACAACCACACAAATGTGGACACACAATCTAGTCCAGTACCAGAAGCCGATTCCCCTGCAGAGCAGGAGACCACAGCACAGTCAGGCACTCCTCCTGGTGCATCTACGGTAAGTTGGCACTAGCTTGTTGGTTAGGGTCATGTCTAGATGTAAAAAACTTTTTGCATGTCTCATTCTGCAAAAAGTTTTGATACTCACAAGCAACATTCACACACAGAGTCCTGCAGCAATCCTTTAACCTAACCGTGGTAGTAGAATGAGTTTATCATACTGTTGGCTATATCAATTAGCATAGCTCTGATACATATTCATTTTGGGTTTTTTTCTTCTTCAAAAGATGTGGCTCAAAAGACATGATGTTAGTCTTTGAAATATAAAAACCAATAGATTTTTTCATATTGCAGGTCAAGCGCACAAACTTGAAGAAGCCTGGCTCTGAGAGGACAGGTCATGGCTTGAGGGTCAAGTTCAATCCTCTTGCATTGCTTTTGGATGCATCTTTGGAGGGCGAGTTTGATTTGGTGCAAAGGATTATCTACGAGGTACTATTCAGTTGCCATATGCCCCTTACACCTATGTTGAATGCTTGAACTAGTCTCAGTAGTAGCTTGTCAACTGTTTCCTTCTCAAATTGTGTTTGTTTTACTCCATCCTCAGGTGAACAATCCTAGCACTCCAAATGATGAGGGTATTACCCCTCTCCATAATGCGGTATGTGCAGGTCACCACCATATTGTAAAATTCCTGCTGGACTTTGGGGTCAATGTCAATGCAGCGGATAGTGATGGATGGTGAGGACTATCAATTTTGTCTGATAGTTTATCTTTTGACATTTGTCTGTATTAGAGAATATTGGACATCTGTTGTCATTTCATATTGTACAGATATGAAATTCTCACTCATAAAGTGATGTTAGCAGTTGCTAACTCTATCTCACTTGTGATCAGGACGCCTCTGCACTGTGCAGCTTCATGCAACAATGTTCATCTTTGCAAGTTGTTGGTGGAGTCTGGAGCTGCCATTTTTGCCACTACTATTAGTGATGTGGAGACGGCAGCAGACAAGTGCGAAGAGATGGAGGAGGGTTATGTCCAATGCTCTCAGTTTCTATATGGTAATATCGAGCACATTTTCTGTTGTTGTTATTTTTACTTTAAAGTGAGTTTCTAGAGTAGGAGCTGTACATGATTTTAAAAGCCAGAATTCATTTTTGTTATTTCCCTTCCAGGTGTACAGGAGAAGCTGGGCGTAATGAATAAAGGGACGGTTTATGCCCTGTGGGACCATGAAGCTCAGAGTGCAGATGAGGTGTCCTTCCATGAGGGTGATGCTCTTACCATCATGAGTCGTAGGGATGACAGCGAGACAGAGTGGTGGTGGACCAGACTTAATGACAAGGAGGGCTACGTACCACGCAACTTGTTAGGGGTACGATATCTGTATAGGCATGCATTTATTTCTTAAATGGCATTGTTATGCATTACAATATTTTGTTTCAATGTAAGGCATAGAATGAGAAAGAATCGACCCTGTAAATTTGTTTAAAAGGTAGGTTCTCCATCAGTAATTGTTGTTCACTGTTGCCATTGTAGCTGTACCCAAGGATCAAACCCAGGCAACGTTCCTTGGCATAGGTGGCCAGAAGAAACGACGCAAGCTCCTGTGACAGCAGTTGGCATGAAGCTGCGGGATGGCGCCCTGTCTTTGCCATCACCCCAACAAAGAACTCACAGATGATGGAGAACGTCTGATGCTGGACAAGAGGGAATAACCGAAGAGAGGGCAATTCAGTGGTCTTACGTTTGCATCCCAGATTTTATTCGTCACTTTGATGTGTTGTTTTTGCAGTATCCCTCTTACCCATATATCTGTTGAGGAACATGTTAGCTTTTCTGACCTCTTCCACAGTGCAAACCTCCTGAGTATATGTGTGTGTGAGAGAGTTTAAGAATGGGATGTTACTGTCAGAACGGGACGTGGATGTGATGATAAGAGTTGGTGACAGAGTATGCAGTCTTGGATTCCAGTGTTTTGTGCTCTGTGGTTATTATCAGGCAAAGAGGAAACTGAAGGGACTGATGTTTCATTTCCCACGGTTAGGAAGTTGCTGATTCAGGGAAAAGGAAGGAAAGTTCTGGAAAGTGTTTAGAAGAGACCTTGAGGCTGGTCAAGCTTCTGATGGATAATAAGGAAGTGGCCTGGTATGGAAACATGTATATTTTTATGTGTGGAGAATTATGTGGGCTGATGGAGGTGAAATTGTGTAGTCATCTATGAGGAACTGAGTTTTAAAAGGATGCTGAAAAAAACCGGATGCCATAAAAACGAATGCAGTGGCTGTTTTCCCATCAACCAGGGGATATTGACAACACATCACATAAAACCTATATTTCCATGCTTTATTTAAGTTGGGCTTGATTTTTTTATGCTACATGATCGTTTCTCTTTTTAAAGGTTGTTTATTTAATTGAAATGGAAAAAAACTCTTTTAACAGCTTGATATAGACTTTTATGGCTGTCAAAACAGGCAGGATCTGCCTTGTGTTTGTGCTGCCATACGAGAGCCATTAATGCAATGTGATGTCATGTATATGTGCACAATAAAATTTCCACATTGGGACAAAGTCACATGTTGTATTGACTGGATTTTTTCACAGCCTGTATTCTATGCAGGAGTATGATGCTGTGTACTCTTTGGGTTTCCATCTTGAAATATCAACATAGATGCATTTGTTGTGAAGTTTGATATGTCCATAGTGGGTTTTTTTTTTACTTGCTTTATTTTACTTCATTACTTATTTAGCTTTAAAAAAAAAAAGGCTTTTCATATATTTAGAAAAATTGACCATTGGCAAGCAGTTGTGAAGTAGCCTATCATAAAAAAAAAATCAATATTTAAATCGCTATATTAATATAGGCTACGTTTAGTTAAATATTGGATTTAGACTAATGTTTCTCAATTTCAGGAAATCATTGCACGGTACTCCCATGAATGAGTAACTTAGTTTAACCTGACATTACATAAACGCAAGCTGTCATGGTTTATCTAGCGGTCTTGGACATTAGTTCATTAGTGCTCGATTCCTTTATTGTCAGTAAACGAACTTTGAACTTAGGCAACAGGCTAGTTGTTCAAGAGAACACCGCGACGCAATAGGTGAGTAGACCACAGTGAAAATACCAATTGTCTGTATATTTTATGTTTAAAACGTAACATAAGTGCATGACTTAAGAAAACCCAGGTTAACCTACCACTGAAAACGCGGGAAATCTCAAATTTCTCAAAATGTTCGTCACAGTTTTTAAAGTGCACTGAGGTCATTTACCCACCGTAACCGCGGTTGAACACTTCCTCCTGTATTAACTGTATTTCAGAAAATTATGAGCAAAATGTCAAAGCAAAATGGATTTCATGTCGTCACCCCACTTCTCGAGAGCGCAGGCATGTCGAAGCTGATGGGGACTACCGTGGTTCTAAAGATGGAGAGCTCACAACCCACCGGTTCCTTCAAAATCCGTGGAATAGGACACATGTGTCAAAATGTGAGGAAAAATATCGCTACATTTCATAAAACCAAGCACCACAATATTGGTTTGACTAAACACATAAAGCTGTTAAATGTTAACGATGTTGCAATTACAAAATCGTTCCCTGAATCAAACGTTTACTTCCCTCACAGGTAGGCTATAGTGCGCGTTCACACTGCCCTCTAGCGCTTTAGGAACGATTGCATATAGCCTATTGGAGAATTCTGATAAACATATTTTTTATTCCTTTCTAAGGTTGCAAGTTCAAACCAGTCGAGAGGTGTCATTTGTTCTTCTGGTGAGTGTAATGGTAAACATTTAATTGTATTTCCCAGTCATATGGGCATCATGAACATATTCAATCATGTATTCTATCTCTCTGTCTCTGTGTGTATACATGTAGGTGGTAATGCTGGTATGGCCACAGCATATGCAGCAAGAAAACTCAACCTGCCAGCCACCATTGTTTTGCCCTTGTCGACACCCCAACTGGTAGCTCAAAAACTTAAGGACCAGGGAGCTACAGTCAAAGTTGTGGTGGGCAAGGCAAGAGCAAAGTACCATCACCGTTATCTCAAATGCCTTTTATTCCCGATATGATGCAGTTACGTTGTCTTATCCTATCTTAAATCATTTACATGACAATGTTTTTATGTGATGTTGTAGGCATGGGATGATGCAAATGCTGAGGCCCTACGATTGGCGGAAATTGAAGGTCTTACTGTAATACACCCGTTCAACCATCCTCTGGTCTGGTGAGTTTATTTGTATAAATAAAATCAAATAAAATAAGGAATCTGATCATGTACAGTCCTTAATTTATTTCATAGTTTAAGTTTTTACACAAATGAAAAGCTGTAAAAAACAATCTGTCTCTTAGGAAAGGTCATTCCAGCATTGTGCATGAACTCAAGGCCTCACTGCCATCCAAACCTGGAGCTATAGTGCTTTCCGTAGGGGGTGGTGGTCTGTTTTGTGGGGTGATGGAAGGGCTGGATGAGGTAGGCTGGGGCAATGTGCCTGTCCTATGCATGGAGACCGTGGGTGCCGATTGTCTAAATTTTGCTCTGAAAGCCAGAGATCTGGTTATGCTGCCTGACATTACAAGGTATAAATTAACGAATCATCTTGAATTCATGAACAATTTTTTTTTATTCGCATAACTGAATCTTTCTGATATTGACTGCTTGCAAGTGAAGCAACGTGTTTGGGAGCAAAAATGGCATGCCAGCAGGCGTTTGAGTACAGCAAACGTCCCAATGTCATTTCAGAGGTGGTGACAGATCTACAGGCCCTGGAGGCAGTGGAACTGTTCCTGGGTAAGTTCATTGCTATGATTAAGGCCATCAAACAGCTCAATAACAACAAAGCTTGCTTTGCTATCGATTACTGTATACTGTATGCAGATGAGGAGCGTGTGTTGGTGGAGTTAGCCTGCGGAGCATCATTGGCTGCTGTATACAGCGGACTCATTCCGAGGCTACAGGAGGAGGGACGCCTTCCTAAACTGCTCGACCCGCTGGTTATGATTGTGTGTGGGGGTGGCAGTATGAACCTGCCTCAGCTTCGGCATCTACAGGCAGTCATACGGAAATGACCACCACATCTTTACATTCTCACATCAATGCATCTGCTTTGAGTAGCACTGACATGTTGTGTTGCATAAATCAAAAGATAAGGATAATCTGCTGTATTTCAAACTAATTCTTTGGATTTTCTGTAACCTTGCTTTAGTGAAATGCTATTTGCGTGATAAAATCCTTTGAAGGAGTAGAATGTTGTCATTTACCACCTGTAACCAGCAGGCGGTGCTAATGTTTGTCGTTTTGATGTGTTGCTTTAAGGCAAGACACTTCAGGCAAAAACTTTTTTTCATGCTCTGATCAATTTTGAGATATTGGGCGGCTATTGATAGAATGTTGTTTCAGACTAGTGGAACGAAAACATCCAAAATATACATTTTAGTGTTTATTTTATTGGACTTTATCTATTTGCATGCACTTTCCAAAAATTTTGATTTTTTTTTCTTGCTGAGTGATACAAAAAGATATCCAAAATCTCCCATGTAAAATCTTGGAATCTAAAACGTGAGCAAAATAACAAGAATTTCGAACCTGGCTTTATTCAGTGTTCAGATTTCTGTTATGAATATGTATGCAAATGAGTGCAAATTTAATTATATAATGCCTCATTTGCATAATAAACAATATTTTTGAGAAGTTGTAATACAAAATATATATTATTTTGCAATTAATCAATCAACTGGGGATGTATGTGGTTTTTAAATCATATTCACCTGTAGTGTCTTGCCTTAAAGAATTACAAGTGTTTGTTTGTTTGTTTTGGACAGTGTAAAAGCAAATCTACAAATATGATAATGATAATAGTAGAAGAGAAGCATTCTTAAGGTTTTAACAGTTTTCTTAATGTAAATTCTTTGAAATAGCCACCGTCTGTTTTCAGCTTAGTGATTTCAAAGATGAAAATCACTAAAGAAAAAAAAAAGACGACTATCGTTTTATACACACTCACCAGCCATTTTATTACATTTTTACATTTACATTTATTCATATAGCAGACGCTTTATATCCAAAACTATAACAATAGGACAACAATAAGTGCTATGACCCTCCCAGTTTAATAACGCAGTACGTGTACTTAAAATAAATAAATAAAGATAATAGATATTGAATAGAAGATAAAGTGTTAGTATTAATGGATCAAATGTTGCCAAAAAAGATGCCGTTTCTTGAAAATGGCCACAGACTCAACAGCTCTGGTTGAGCTGGGCAGGTCATATTCCACCAGCAGGGAACACACCAGAAAAAGGTCAGAGAAAGAGATTTTGTGCTTCTTTGAGATGGCACCACAAGACGGCGTTCACTTGCAGAGCGCAAGTTTCTGGATGGCATGTAAGTCTGAAAGAATGAGTTTAGGTATGAGGGAGCAGCCAGTGGTTGTTATAGGCAAAAGTCAGTGACTTGAATTTGATGCGAGCGGCAACTGGCAACCAGTGCAATTTAGTGAGGAGAGGAGCGACGTGTGCTCTCTTCGGCTCGTTAAAGACCACTCTGGCTGCAGCATTCTGGATCAGTTGCAGAGGGTTGACTGTGCAAGCTGGAAGACCTGCTATGAGAGCATTACAATAGTTATTACAGTTGCATGAACCAATCATAGAAAAATAATTAAAATAGCTCAACACAACAAATGATTCAAGTGATTTCCCCAAATTCAACTGAGAATGCAACTTTTAATGACTTCTGCAGTCTCAAAATGATCCAACCCCCTGAATAGAATCCCTCACAACAGCACAAATCTGCAAAACAGGTAGGCAAGATGGATTCATTGAAGTATCAGGAAATCCTAGGAGAAAACATCATACCGTCAGCTTGGCCGTCATTGGACCTTCTAACAGGACAATGATCCCAAGCACACCTCAAATTCCACCAAGACTTGGTTGCAGAAGAAGTCCTGGAAGATTCTACATTGGCCATCACATCACATTGGCCAAGGGGTTAAATAATGTTGAGACTGCAGAAGTCTTTAAAAGTTGCATTTTCAGTTGAATTTGGGGAAACCACTTGAAACATAGTTGTGTTGAGCTATTTTAATTATTTTTCTATGATTGGTTCATCGCGAAGAGCTGAAAGTCAATAAACCTGATTTGCAATGGGGGTTGAATAATTTTAATTACAACTGGTACACCTTGTTAGTACCAGGTTGGACCCTGTGGTTGATTTTTAATAGATAAGATAGTAAACTATCTTTTAGAACTAATCATGTTTCTGACTCTAAAAATCTGACCTTTAGATTATCTAACCTTATGATAAACTTTTACCTGACTTCCCCTTTGGGTCTAATATTATGACTAACTCTTACCTTACTTCCCTTTTAGGCATCCTAACATTTGAACAAAATGTAGTGTTCGAAACTAGTGAAAACTCATGGTTGTGTGAAAACAAATATGGGAAATGAAACTAGACAGATGTCTAACCTTGAAACCTTTTGGTTACCTGGTAACAAGAGGGCCTGTCTATGAACAACCAATCAAGTTGTGGGGAAATTATGTAACGTTTCATGTCATTTTGCCATACCCCTATTCTATAAAAACGGTTGTATTCGTGTTTACTGGTGGGATTTGACTGAGATCCTCCGGCCTTGCTTCTTCTTGGGGGAAGTTCTCTGAGGAAATTTCGAGGACTCTCCCGGCCGTGATTAAAGCATTTAGAGGACATTTGCAGAAGTCTGTCTGTCATTACTGCTGCGCAGCAGGTTAGTTTAGGGAAGCAGGTGAGTTAGTTTAGAGAAATAGATAACTGTTAGGGAATGTCGATTGGAGACAACCCAGGAAGACTATATATAGGGAATGTCGATTGAAGACAACCCAGGGAACGTCGATGAGGAGACGACCCAGGTAGACTTACGTAGTTAAGGTTTAGGGAAAAATCTACCACAACCCCATTTTGCCTTCAGAACTGCCTTAATTCTTTGTGGCATAGATTCAAAAAGGTGCTGAAAACATTCCTCAGAAATGTTGGTCCATATTGACATGATATAGCATCACGCAGTTGCTGCAGATTTGTCAGCTGCACATCCATGATGAGAATCTCCAGTTCCACCTGTTGGAAACTTCAGAAGCGAAGACCAGGAGACTTGGTTGAATCTTCAGCAGGATTTTTCATTGAGAACACGATCTGTTGGTAGCTGCAGTCATCAAGTCTCTCTAGTGTACATTGAAGTTTAGATTTTAGGGGCAGTGCTTAGAAATGGAGATAAAGCACCTGGCTGACGACCTTAACAAATCATGCAAATGAAGTATACAGTAATAGCAACCCACCCCAGACTCTAGAGTGTTGCAAGTCCTAATTCTATCAGCATAACTAATTCAAAGATTGGGAAAGGCTCCAAGAGCCAATAAAGACAAAAGGTCAGATTCTCAGTAATCTGGCTCATTTGACTTACAATAAAGAGAATAGGACTGGCAGGAATCTCTTGCAGGAAACTTTGCTTAGCAGAATCATTCATCTGATGTCATCATCTTTACCTTAAAATGCTAAATACAATGTACTCCACCTTAGTTTTTCATGTTATGTTATGTTATGTAAGGACAAGATCAGCAGATCTTAAACAGATTTTTAAATGTGTAATCCCACACACCATATCCCAAAGGTGCTCTATTGGAGTGAAATCTGGTGACTTCGGAGGCCATTTGAGTATTGCCAACTCATTGTCATGTTCAAGACTCATCAGACCAGGCAACGGTTTTCCAATCTTCTGTTGTCTAATTTTGGTGAGCTTGTGTGAATTGTAGCCTCAGTTTCCTGTTCTTAGCTGAGTGGCACTCTTCTGCTGCTGTAGCCCATCTGATTCAAGTTTCGACATGTGTGTTCAGAGATGCTCTTCTGCAGACCTTGGTTATAACAAGTGTTATTTGAGTTACTGTTCTCTTTCAATCAGTTCTAACCAGTCTGGTCATTTTCCTCTGACCCCTGGCAACAACAAGGCATTTTCACTCACAGAACTGCAGCTCACTGGATATTTTTTTTTTTTTTTTCAGACCATTCTCTGTAAACACTAGAGATGATTGTTCTTGAAAATCCCTGTAGATCAGCCGTTTCTGCAATACCCCCAGCCCGTCTGTCACCAACAACCACGCTACGTTCAAAGTCACTTAAATCACCTTTCTTCCCCATCCTGATGCTCAATTTGAACTTCAGCAGATTGTCTGGACCATGTCCACATACCTAAATGCATTGAGTTGCTGCTATGTGATTGGATGAGATATTTGCATTAACAAGCATTTGAATAGGTGTACCTAATAAAGTGGCTGGTGAGTGTATATTTTCTCATTATACATATTATTTTCTTGTGCACACACAAACTCTTCTGGTATTGGAACTAGGCCTACAGAAAAAAAAAAAAAAATCTAAATTGTGAGAGTATAATGTAAACCACTTGGCTGTAACTCAGGAGCTGCTTTGTTTCCAAAGGCTGTTATAAATGGACTTCATGATCCATGTAAATAACGATGAAATTACCAAGTGCTTTGTCATGTGATTGGGAAAAGGCATGTAATTGTGTTAGAACAGAGACTGTGGTTGTAGTACATTACAGGCTTTATGCTGCACTGAATGCGGGGCAGCATACAAGATACTTCACTGTGGTTAAGATATTGTCCTGCTTCTGACATGAGCAATGTTCTTTTTGCATTGATTGATGATTGTTTGAAATGACTGATACATGAGAATGTTTATCTAGTTATACATTATTGAATAGCTTGAATAAAGAGAACTTCTTAGGGAACCAACTCATTTGTTGGTATTAAAGTTTCTGCCAAGATTGAAAAGACCTAAATGGCTTCACGATGGAAGTGCATTTAAGCTTCTCAGAGTTTTCACTCCTAAGGGTTAAATGCAGATCAAAGCCGAGAGATTGATTTTGAGCCCCACAGATAATCTACTCTACTTCTGGCCACTTTTATCTGTACTCCGGAGGTTGTTAAATACACAAGGCAATGATATGCAGGAAGGTAATGCCTGAAGTTGATGTCTTAGTAAATAATATTTGTGCTATCTGTGATAGCGTTAAAAGAACAGCTACCCCAAAACTGAATGTCCTTCCAAAACCATATGACTTTATTTCTTCTGTGGAAAAGCAGAAAGTCCTGGCGGCTCATTTACATATGAAAGTGAACAGGGACAGTACCCCAGGTTTGATGTCACCATGTCTCATTGATGACGTCAAACCTGGTTTAACTTGTCTTGATGT